GAGAAACAGGTTATTGCCTGTGACTGTTTTCCGTTAATCATTCGAAAATAGGCATTATAAGTACAATAAAAAATCATGAGAAATCATTTGCCACACTGTTTCGTAGTCACGAGTGCCACTTAATGACCGAGGCAGTGTACTCACAGGTATAAGTGACGTTGGGTAGCAAATAGAAAGCTTTTCGTCGAGCCACTGGACTCTTGTAAGCATCGTACAAAAGGTAGAAACGTCCGCTGTTTTATTGGTATGAATTTTGCTACAGGGATACGTGTCATCGATCCTCATATTTCATGCATCGTCTAATGTAGCCGTTTTAGGACCGGCTTTTCTTCGTGATGGAATTCGTGAACGGCGGCGATTTAATGTTCCTCATTCAGCAGATGGGTAAATTCAAGGAGCCTGTTACAGTGTAATAAATTACGTAACGCGCGGAACCGTTTCTCTTACGTACTGAGCTAATTACAGGTTCTATTCCGTCGAAATCGCCATAGGCATTTTCTACCTGCATTCGAAAGGCATCATCTACAGAGACCTGAAGTTGGACAACATCATGCTCGACAAAGACGGACACATCAAGATTACAGGTGAATCGTGGTCATCTTTTCTGATCTCGGACTAACTGTTTTTCCAGACTTCGGCATGTGCAAAGAAAACATCTTCGAAGGGGACACCACGAAAACCTTCTGCGGCACTCCGGATTACATCGCTCCTGAGGTGCGTAAACATGCTGTGTTTATAACTTTCCTTCTTACCTATGTTTACAATAAACTGTGTTTTTACATATAATCGTAACGTAGTACTATGATATGAAGGAACTGTACGCCGTTTATCATACTCCAGCGTACGAAAACGTTTTCATATTTACGCGTTAGTATATTAGGAGTATCAACTCCTGAAACGTGGTGGCTGCAGCAAACAAAACGATGCGACATGGCACTGAAAATGCTCCCCTGCATAATTACGAGCACGGAGCGGTTTTATATGCCATATAACTGTTGTTAGTATGTTAACATACTTTGCAGTCTGTTCTATATGAGAGAATTATAGATGTGGAATATCGTGTAACAGCTATTCGAATTTACACTTAGAAATATGAACTATGTATCAAAAACGCAATCAATTAATATAGTGTAGTTCAATTACAAATCGTTACATTGTAATATTTTGTTGTATCTATCGCTGTTGTATGCTCTATTTACACTGTATCTGCGTATACTCTGCAATGAATACCTATATGTAAGTATGGGCAGAGATATCGATTCGTTAACAGTTACATGTACATTTTCTAATTCCGTGTTTCAACGCGTCATCGTCACAGCCACAGTATAACTACGATAAACCATGCCGTTTAAAACTGACATAAACTTAAAAATTGAGTAGAGTTCTGTATTCGAAGAAAATAAATCTATTATGTTCATACTTTTTAATGAAATGCCAACGATAATACTTATGTTTAGCATATTACTTACGTTTCGAGCTATTTATATAATCATAAGAAACCAATCGATGAGCTTCAAAACAGTACGCGTAGGTAACAGATTAAATTATAGTTGTAACTGCATGATATAATTATAACTGCTGTACAGCATATGCATATAACTGTATAATATATGTGCGTATTGTGCAAATCTCTACAGGGACTTTACGGAATTACAATGCATATAAAATTTATTATATACAAGCCC